TCCAAATCACAAGATCAACTCACAAAGGCAAAAATAAATAAATAAATAATGAAACACATCATAAATCGAAAAATCTTGATCGAAAATTAATTCTTACAAAAATTCATATAACAGTAACTTGATTATCTTTAGTAATAACCTGAATATCTCTAATAATTCTCAAGGATCTTTGAAAATAACGAGAAATTTGAATTTCTATGAAATAATGAACTAAAAAAATATTTTTTTAAGAATATTTTTCATAAATGTCACTAAACCCCTATTTGGTGAGGATTAAAATTAGATTTTTATTAGTTTTTTATAGAAGTTTTTGAAATTTGTGATTAAAAAAGTGTGAGACATATAAAATATGTTGTTAATATTGATTGTTTGACTTTAATTTAGATTAAAATATGATTTAAATCAATACCAAACAATGGCTAAATTTGAAAATACACCAAAATTTGTCATTTTTATTAATGGTGCTAAAAAATGTCACTTTTGTGAATTGTCCCAGTTACCCTTAGTCATACATTTTTGGGAGCATTTAATACTCATTAATGCTTGATTTGAATACACATTAATGCTATGATGTGATAATTTAATTTGTGTACTATAAGCATTGGATGTATCTTATACTAGGTAATACGATTTTTTTAACAATAAAAAAAATGAAAAAAAGATTTTGAAAAGTAAGCATAAATCAATTTCTTCTACCATTAAAACCCTAACTTTCTTTCCATCTTCTTCATTCTTTCATGAACAAGAAATTACTATTCAATTCATCTTCCAATTTGAGAAGTTAGCATGTTAGAATTTGTTTATATATTTATCTTATAACGTACTACTTTTGAAATGTTAAATACAATATGATCACATTTATTCGAAATTTTCGAAATTATTATTCACTAATTTGTAATAAAGATATCGATATCATCTACAAAATGTTGTGATGGATTCCATATTTAGTGAAACATTGAATTATTTATTTGGGAAGATGTTATCTGTTGTAGTTGAGAATTGAAGATCATTATTAATGTTTTGAATAATTTCTTTCAATCAAACCCAATAAATGTTTTGAAAGATTGCATCTTTAATGATTTACTGTGCAAATTATTTGGGAAGAAAATTTTGTCACTAGTAGTACAATATTGATGTTCACACTTAATGTTATGAAAAATTTGTCCAATCACACACACATTACGTGTTTCTTGTCAATTCCGAAAGTTCAACTGTCGAATTCGATATTTAGAAACTGTCAGGATAGACATTTTAACTGTCAAATTCGACATTTAGAAACTGTTAGGATAGACATTTCAATTGTCGGTTTCACTTGTTTGCTATTGTATGGGTTTAAATATTCAAATGTGCCACTTTCATGTTATTAAATGCCGACATATTGATTATGCATAATTCTTACTATTGCAATCTCAACTTTTCCGATATGAGTAATAATTTGAGACTCGTCGTATCATATGGGGGAAACTTTGTTCATGTAGATAACGAATGGATGTGGATATGTGACAAAACCACTTCAATTGTAATTCCGACAAATATCACCCTAGTCGGACCTATGTTACGATTGAATGACAAACTTAGTATTCTTAATCACCGCATTCAAATTGAATTGAAGTTCGAATTTTCGAACATGAATATACCTTCGGCCAAAATACGCGAAGATGAAGACTTAAATTGGTACATATCAATTCATAAGGAAACTATTATATACATTACTATTTTGGAGACCGAGCTTTCAATTGTTGACATGAGAAAGTGTACAAATTTTCAAAATCATTCATTTGATGCGGTGGAAGTTCACCGAAACGTACAACATGATGATGTCGATTAAGTGCAAAGTGTCTCAAACGATAATGTACTCAAAACATTAATTTTTTATATTGAGACTACAATCTTCATGATCCATAAATTGAACAATGTGCACACATGTTCAGTAGATTTTCGCCATAGCGCACATCGACATACCACAAGTTCTATAATTGTCGAGTAGTTATTAGAAAGGTTAGATAATTCAAACGGATCGTATGATCCTACTGCTATTGCACGTGATTTTGAACGTGATTTAGGTGTCAAAATTAGTTACAGCAAAGCTCGCGATTGTTGGTAATGAATGAGTATGAGCAAGAAAGTTGCATTTAAAATTTTGCGCTTGTTGTGAATGAACATCTACATTTTGATGTGAGAATTACATGTTAAACAATCAATTTCATTCGTCATAAACAAGAAAATGTGTAATTGTATTCAATGATCAGTCACATATTTTTGCAAATTCTAAACACGAATTCTTAGATCTACTACGAAAGGACTATAATTTCAATTAATTTCATTTGTGTTTGTTTAGATAAAATTATACAAGTCACAAATTATAGTGTTATAAAAATGAGTCATGGAGATATTAAATCTAAACAAAGCAAAGATCATATCAATTGAAATTGTCTCCAATCAAGAGTTCGTAGAGGTGATTCAATTTAACTTTAGAGGAATCACTTTTTCTCCTATTGTAAAATATCCTTAAAAACAAACTTGAAAGTCACCATCTCTCCCACTTCCCCAACCTTGACAAAGGGAAAGTGTGTAGAACATTTGTGTTGCAACAAAAGGTATTTTCTTGTGGGTTTCATTTTAACATGTGCATAGTTTCAAGTACTAATTAGCACGAAATAATTGATCAAGCTAAATCGTGCGAGGTGGCCTTTGATGTTAAATAGTTACGAAAATGTATGCATGCATACGATCTTCTGGAGGGATAAATTCAAAATTCATCTGCCAGAAATAAAAATATAAAGAACTAATTATCATACATTTCATTCATAGAACACATACATGAGCTGCTAAACAAATTTTGACTTCTATATCCAACTGTCGAGATAAGTGACTCAACTGTCGAGACTGATAGGTTATCTCGATAGATGGTTCCATAACTGTGACATTTACATTTCATGAAGTAGTAATGATATTCAGATGATGATATGTCATACATTTCAACCTAAAGGCCACGTGATAAATTGAACAAAATTTGACTTACGGAACCAATTGTCAAGATAAGTGAGTCAACTATTTAGAACTCTAGAGACCAACTGTCAAGAATGACAGTTTATCTCGACAAATGGTTTCATAACTGTCGGAATTGACATTTACATTCCACATTAATATTGATTTTTCATGTTAAATATAAAAGCAAAGACATTATTGACAATCACATGAAATCAACAATTGAAGTTCATGAAACAAATTAATAGACTTAATGTGTAAATTTGAGCAACGCTCAATCTATATATTCAACATTAATGTCTAAATCTTTGAGCTGTTAAGAAGCTACAAATTTTGCCATGTAAACTAATCTAAATTCAAGAATAATGAAAGACTAATTGCGAACCTTAATCTTGATTTCTAGAAGGATGAACCTCCACTAATAGGGACACCGACTCAGACCTGCAAAAAAATTCAAGTATTTTACATTAACATAGAATGACGGGGAAAAATAAATCAATTTCACACTCATGAAAAATAAACCCTGACAAAAAATAAATCCACTTCACACTCGTTAAGATAGTGTCTTTTATATTCACATAGAATGTATTTTACATTATATTAAACCCACTTCAAGCTCACGAAATCAAAAAATAAACAAAATTAAATTTCACATTGGGACCGAAAAATGGATCAACAAACTGAAAAAATAGTTGGCGGCTTCACTTCGTGTTTTTTTTTTTTTTTGAAACAATCTTCTATTTGTGTTGAACACAAATAAATTATTGAAATAAAATTTTCAAAACCAGTTCTAGACAAAAAATTTCGAATTTTCTCATACACCCAAAGAAAGGAGAATATAACAAATAATAAATGTTTAAATTTGTCCAAATATCTCTGAAAATCTTGAAAGAATTCTCAAATACCAAATATTCCCAACAAATGAAAAAGAACAGAAAACAATTTTTTTTAGACAAATTAAAAAAAAAAAAAAAAATCATAGATGGGGGAATCACAGAGAGAACCCAAACCTAGGAAAAAAAAATTTGATTGTTGGGAAGAAAAATATCTCTAAAAAATGTTGAAAGCGGGATTTCTCTCACAAATTCTCCTAGAGGTACAAGAAGTTTTTTTCAATTTTTTGGAATTAGTTTGAATGTTGTTTTTGGGTTAGGTTTAGAAAGTAGATAGGATGGGGTGTGGTTTAGGTGGGTTTAATGGGATGTTTGTGTATTATTTTGTACAATTTTTCATCTAATCACATCAACATTAATTACATATATATATATGTGATTTAAATTGTCTGTTGGGGCAAAAAAAGTCCAAATGTGATATTTTTGCAAAGATTATTAAAAAGTGGCATTCTTGAAAATGCAAAATAAAAAAAGTGACATGAGGTGCAATTTCCTCTTTTTTTCTATTAGGTTGCATTAGAACTATGAATTTGTAAATTATTTAAATTTTGATTTTGATTACCTATAAAAGAAATAAAGAAGAAGCATATGGAAAATAAAATTTTAATGTGAGATAATTTTGGGATCTAATGTTCGAAGATCTACGCAACTTAGTGCAAACAGAAAAAGAAATTCGGGAAAACATAAATCACTAAGATTCTTAAGACAATATCGAGAACTAGAATGAAATCGACTGGTTCTATCTGGTTCTGGTCCTGTTCCACCAATTCCGGAAAAAAAATGTCTGCCCCTAAAAATTGATGCCCATTGTCACCAAAATATAGAGGTCAATTTCATGTAGATTTATTTGATTATTTGTTTGAACTTTTTGGGTAGTTTAATATAGGATGGACGTCCGATTCCTGTAATTAAACATAATCTAGGAAGAGCGATTACGTGCCAAAAATAGAAATAATTTACTCATCAGAAAAACTAAAACAAAAACCTCTAATAAATCACCTCTACTTAATCATAAGAATTTCAGAAAACCCTTTGTCCGATTGAAAAACTCCATTTTCATTAAACAAAATTCATTAATGTATCTTGATGGCTTTAAGGATTATTATATTGGCCTATTGCATGTTGTTGTTTTCAGCCACCATTGTTGAGGGTATGATAGGCCTGAATTGGGGTAGGATGACCTCACAAAGACTAATTCCATCCACGGTGGTAGATTTGTTCTTACAGAATGGAATTCCGAGGTTAAAGTTTTCAGCTCCAGGGAAAATGTCCTGAAGGCATTTTCCGGGAGTGGAACTCGCCTAACAATTTTAATCACTAATGATGCTCTCCATGACATTAACTCGACAAATGGAGCCAGATAATGGGTTGAAAGGACGATTACTAGTTTTGCTTTGAAGAACTTCGATATAAAGTAAGGCGTATCGTAACATCATTAACATGTCTGAGTCCAAGACTCCAACTTTATTATTATTATTTTGAATCTTTTTCCTATATATTTTTCTTCTCAATGTTACTTAGATTGCTTTTCTCCTTTATTTGTGGGTGTTGTATAGGTATGTTAATATTGGGGCCGAACCCTTTTCACCATCCTTTTGGAGTAAAACCTATCTTGGTGCTGTTGATGTGTTGAAAATGATCCAAGACGCTCTAAATGAGGCTGGATATGGCGATAAAACGAAAGCTACAACTCCACACCTCACCGATATCTTGAAGCCGAATCATACCAAACCATCAGAGGCTGAATTTCATGAAGATATTAAGGACTTATCATCCAATCACTAAAGATTCTTAGAAAACAATTCTCCTGTAATGATTGACATGTTCCCTATCCTCTTTTTCGATGAGAATAACTTGGACAAAGAATTCGCATTCATGGATGGAAAATCGACACATTTTGTTGTGGATGACAATGGTTTAAATTACACGAATGCATTTGATTTCATGCATGACTCAATCCTGTGGGCAATGAAGAAAGCTGGAGCCCCTGATCTAAAGTCGAAAGCAACAGAGGGACTCCATTGCGCCCGGGGGTTCCTATCGACCTTTATATCCACAGTCTAACCGACGAGAACAAGATGAAAGTTAAATTTGGAGCTTTTCAGCGGCATTGGGGAATATACAGAAACGACTGGCAGCTTAAATTCAAGATTGATCTTTCAGGACAAGGCTGTGATATCTATCCGACCATGGCCAAGGGAGTGACTTACATGCCTAAGCGGTGGTGCGTTTTTAACGGGGATAACAGTAATTTAACCAAAGTGAAATATGAATCAGCCTGTCAAGAAGCTGATTGCACAAACCTGTCGCCGGGGAGATCCTGTAGCCATTTGCATTTCAATCAAAATGTTTCTTATGCATTCAATAGGTGTTGGGAAATTACAGCAATATTCAGACATCAACAAAGGCTAACAATAACAGAGTTCATAAGGCTCAAGCAACCAATGTCATCTTTTCGAAGCAATAACCGAATTCAACAGCCAACAGATTCAGCATATGATAAATCTCCAGCATACAATAACATATATATATTGAAATTAGTATCCACCATTCTCCAACTAGCCTAAGCATAACATGGATAAATCGACAGAATAGAGAAACCATGACTAGACTGAAAAAGGAAACTAAGGCAGAAAAATGCTACTTCCCTTTCTTCCTCCT